GAATTAGCACAGAAGATTTTCTATAATCACTAGAAATGAGCTGGATCTTCCCAATGACAAGATGAAGCCTTCTCTGGGACAACATATCAAACTTTTCAAATTCTCTCCTCTCTGATTCTTTGGACCCTAATACTTACATGCCAGGTCTCTTAGACATGTGACCTGTTACTCACAGTTTCACTGGCCCCACATCACACACACCAGGGACAGCAGAGCTAGAGTACCCTCCTGAGTCTTGTCTGTGATTCTTTTTGACTTGAACACCAGCAGGCTGTAGAGTGGATTTCTCACTGCCTTCCCTTCATACTATTTGGAAAGTTGCACTTTGGTTCCACCTTCCACAATCTTCTGAGGAGGGATTACAGGCACCTATGAGGTGGCCTGGAAAGTGGCATAGAGTATGCAGAGGTAAGAAACCTGGTCATAGATGGAAAGGGATTTAGATGCTCCTCTTCTGTTCTATTCTGTATAGGCTCTTATACTACCCTCATCACCATAATAACTGAGCACCTTCCAGTAGTACATTAAGCAATGTAACTGCATCTGTCACAGACGGTTCAGCCTGTATCCAGAGGGAGGTTTGTGTGTGCAGAGTTTTGTTTTATTAGGATTCTTTTTTAAATCTAGACACTTCTAGGTGTTTGTGTTAGAGAAGCATATCGAAGAAGTGCACCTTATACTTTGAATGGAAGGTGGTGAGGTCTGTGATGGTTCTTAGCTCCTGTGGGAGTTGATTTGCCTGCACACAAGGACTTTTGCTTATGGTAGAGAGCTCACTGTGGCTGAAGAGTGGAACTGCTGACTACAGACTTCATCCAAGAGGTGACACACATTTGTTATTTCACACTGAGCCCCCTCAAAACCAAGGGCTAGCTCTTTGCTTGGCATCATAGGTGCTGGAACTAGGGGTGCTAGGAGTGGCTGCCGTATCCCCCGGCTAGAGGTGGTTTCCATTATATTTACAGTTTGTTTCATGGCTCTCAGCACCCCCACTATAAAAATGGTTTCAGCACCCCTGCTTGGAGTGCCCTTTTTCTACAGTGGGATGCATTACAGTTGTGTCCTTTCAGGATTTCTATGATCATCAACCTCTTAATTGCATGTGTGTTTGTCTTCTCAACCTGCAGCGGAGGGGAACAATGAAGCTCTCTTCAGTAACCATCTGCTAAAGCTACAGTTTGTTTCAGAGAATAATTGTGAACACCGACAGCAAGATGTGTTCAAAAATCTTTGTGCTGTATATATTTGAGGAAAAGGAATGCTTCAGAGACATAATATAAATGCCTCTCTCTGAGGCTGCAATTATAGAAAGAGAATGAGGGAAAGTTTAGCATTCCCTTGTCAACTGACTTTGACAGTCATAACTTTACAACTTGAGAAATTCCCATAAGAGCAGGAGAACAATATGTACATTTCCACAATAATCCATAACAAACAGCCTGATCCTGGAGCATTTTTTACATGAGCAGCCACTTTAGCCTTGTCTCTGGTAGGAAAAGTTAGCAAATGGTTCCCGTACTATGGTTCAGTTCCACCAGTGGTAGCAATATCGGGAGCTCTACGTATTTGGGCTGCTGCCAGCTTTTTAACCACTGTGTCAGTTAGACTTACTCTTGTTTTTAGCTGCATTTTGGTGTTTCTGCAGTTTCAGCAGAAGTCCCTTATGACATTTACATATACTAGGGCAATTAAAAAAACATATGTACCTAATCCACTGATGCAAGATGTAGCTTTTTAGCTTGTATATATTGCTACAGTAACTCCTCACTTAAAGTTGTCCCCATGTTGTTAAGTTGCTGATCAATTAGGGAACATGCTCATTTAAAGTTGCACAATGCTCCCTGATAACATTGTTTGGCAGCCGCCTACTTTGTCCACTGCTTGCAGAAAGAGCAGCCCAATGCAACTAGCTGGTGGGGGGCTTGGAACCAGAGTGGACCGGCAGCCGCCCATCAGCTCCTCGCTCCCCTAAGTTCCCTGTGCAGCTGCAGCCCAGCAGGCTATCAATTGCCGGCAGTTCAGCTGTCCCTCCCCCCACTGCCATGTGCTGATGCTGCCCTCTGCCTTGGAGTTGCTCCCAGGAGCCTCTGGCTTGCTGGGAGTGGGGGGAGGGAGCGCTAATGTGCAGGCCTGCAAGTTTCCTCGTCCTAAGTCCTGTCGTGTCCCCCCTGCTCCTGCCATCCGCTTACCCTATCTCCATAGAGTAGGGGGAGGGTGGGGACGACACTACAGGGTTTAGGATGGAGGAAGCTTGCAGGCAGAAGCTGCTGTCTCAACGTCCTGATCTACTTAAAAAGGCAGTGTACTTAGAGTGGGGTCAGCGTACTTAAAGGGGCAATGCGCATCTCTCTTGCTCACACACACACAAGGGGTGTGTCTCTGTCTCTGCCATGCTGTCTCCTCTCCCTCCATGCGTGCTGCCTTGTAGAGTGTGAGGTTACATTAACAACAGTGTGTTAAGCCTTGAGGGCTCAGCTGAGTTTTAGTTCATCATTGAGCAGTAAGGCATTCCCTAGGAAATATCCCACCCCCTTCCACCCTCTGACTTCACCACCTCAACCAAGCTTCACAATCATCATTGCTGTGTACAGTATTAAATTGTTTGTTTAAACTTACACTGTGTATACATATATATAATCAATATATAAACATATATAATTTGTCTGGTGAAAAAAATTTCCCTGGAACCTAACCCCCCATTTACATTAATTCTTATGAGGAAATTGGATTCACTTAACATCGTTTCGCTTAAAGTTGCATTTTTCAGGAACATAACTACAATGTTAACCGAGGAGTTACTGTACTTCATTACCTAAATAACTTCAAGAATTTTGTTAAACCAGATAAAAATCTGAAGAAAGTGCCCATAACGTCTATTTCAGGTAAAGCTAAGTTTACAATTTCAGTTCTGAAGCACCTTTATCAGTTGCTTGTAACATCCTCAAACAAATTCTGGTCACACTTTATATTAACATTTATATTAGTTTATAACGGGATAATAAATGATTAACATATAAGTATGTTGAAGACATAAATAGTATGTGCTTAGATGGCTGTAATACAGCAGTAGAGTGTTATAGATGATTACAAGCAACCTACTGCACTGTTCCTCTCATTAACAATCTATAATGATTGAGTAACTATTTATTTAAACACCTAGTAATCAGCAGGAGGCCAAGGCCCTAGAGCAGTGGTTCTCAACCAGGGGTATGCAGAGGTCTTCCAGGAGGTACATCAACTCATCTAGATATTTGCCTAGTTTTACAAGTGGCTACATAAAAAGCACTAGCAAAGTCAGTACAAACTAAAATTTCATACAGACAGTGACTTTATACCACTTAATGTGCTATACACTGAAATATAACCACAATATTTATATTCCAATTGATTTATTTTATAATTATATGGTAAAAATGAGAAAGTAAGCAATTCTTCAGTAATAGTGTGCTGTGACACTTTTGTATTTTTTATGTCTGATTTTATATCCAAGTAGTTTTTAAGTGTGATGAAACTTGGGGGCACGCAAGACAAACTGGTTGCCTGGGAACAGAGGTGGTGCCAGCCCATTGAGGACCCCAAGCAGAAATATTTTTGGGGCCCTCCACAACACAATAAAAAGCAAAAGGGAACCTCCCTGCTTGAGCTACTTTGGGCATAAGAAATTACTTAGTCTGTGCCCAGCTCGGGCTCTGCCTGGAGGCTCCATCACACCACTAACTGCAGATAGGTTTGATAGAAAAGGGACCTTGGTGGCTCCAGTCAGCACTGCTGACTGGGCCATTAAACGTCTGGTCAGTGACGCGGTGGGGCTAAGGCAGGCTCCCTGCCTCCCCGTAGCTCCCGGAAGTGCCTGGCGTGTCCCTGCGACCCCTAGGCACAGGGGCCAGGGAGGCTCCGCAGGCTGCCCCTGCCTCGAGTGCCAGCTCCGCAGCTCCCATTGGCCAGGAACTGCAGCCAATAGGAGCTGTGGGGGTGGGGCCTGGAGGCACAGGCAGTATACACTGTGTAGAGCCGCGTGGGTGCACCTCAGCCCAGGGGCTGGACATGCTGGCCTCTTGTGGGAGTAGGGAGCCTGCCTTAGTCCCACTGTGCTGCTGACCAGGAGCTGCCTGAGGTAAGTGCTGTCTGGCTGGAGTCCATACCCTGAACCCCCTCCTGCATCCCAACCCCCTTCCAGACTGCCCACCTGCACCCCAAACCTCTGCCTCAGGTCGGAACCCCCTCCTGCATCCAAAATCCCTCCCAGAGCCTGCAGCCCCTGCCTCCACTCCCACACCCAAACTCCCTCCTGAAGCCTGCACCCCCTCCTGCACCCTAATCCCCTGCCCCGAGCCCCCTCCCACACTCTGAAACCCTTGGCCCCAACCCAGTTCCCCCTCCTGCATCCCAAACCCCTCATCCCAGCCCTACCCCAGAGCTCACAGTCTGTACTTTCCCCCCCCTCCCAGCCCTGAGCCCACTCCTGCACCCCAATTCCCTGCCCCAGGATGGAGTGCCTCCTGCACCCTGAACCCCTCATTTCTGGCCCCACCCTGGAGCCCTCACCCCCTCCCACACCCCAACCCAGGAAAAGTGAGGGTGGGGGGAGCAGGCCACGGAAGGAGGGGGGACTGGAGTGAGCAGGGGCGGGGCAGGGGGATGTGGGTTTTGTGCAATTAGGAAATTGGCCGCCGCAGAGCCCCTGTCTGCGGGCCCTAAACCCTTCCCCGGCAGAGACACATCCCCGCCTCCCACAGCGCCTCCGGCCCGCTCCCCTTTGCTCCAGGAGCGCCTCTCCCACCCAGGCTTCTTCCCTGGGGTCCCCATCGCCTCTCCTGGGCGGGGTGCGCCCCACAGAGCCCTCTGGCCTCGCTGCCGCGGGCTCCGCTCCCTGCTGGGAGCTGCGCGGGGAGATCCGCGGGGCCCGCCCGGCTGTGGGTGTGTGGCGGCGGCGGGCGGGGGGAGAGCCCGGTCCTTGGCTCCTCCCTCCGCCGGAGCCTGCTTCTTCCCCAGCCTCTACGTGATGACGCGCCGGTGACTCGCCGGGGCCCCTGGGCACAGGCCTGTCGAGCCCAGCGCCGCGAGCTGGCCCCCGAGTGCGCGCCAGGGTCCCGCAGCGCAGCGCAGCGCGGCCGGCCAGCCCCGGGGGCGCCGCTTCCCGCTGCGGCTCGCGCGGAGGGAGCCAGGCGCCGCGGGGTGAGTAGCCAGCGGCGCGGCGCGCCCAGGCACCCGGCTCTCGTCTCTGTCCCCCCGGCACAGTGCAGCCCGTCCGACGGCCCGCGGGAAGGAGCTCGGGGAGCAGCGGGGGGAAGGAGAGGCGGCGGCGGGGGCGTGAGCGCAGTTGTGCATCGAGAGAGCGAACTTCTTGCAGCGAGCTAGAAGCCCCGCTCCAAACAGGCTCGTGTGTGTTGAACATCCAAAGGAGTAGTAACGATGTAGCATACATAAAATCTGTAGAGGTGCCTGAGTGTGGTTTTTACATGTTTTCGGAAAGAGATCCTAAAAGGAAAAAAAAAAAAGGGGGGGGGGATTTATCTCCCTTTGTAATTGCAATTGTTTGGTTTAGGCTTTAGCTGCAGAGTGAGGGAGAGAGATGAGGAATGTTTCTACTAAGCAGGAAAGGCCTTTCCTCCTCTTTTCGGATGGTGTGTATGTAGTTCGCTTGAATCTCTGTCCTGTGCATAAATAATACACCCAACAACTACCTGATGTACCTTTGTGTGAGATATTTATCAGTGCCTGACAAATGTAAGGATTTGTTTTCCTCTTTCTGCCTGTTGCGCCTCAGGGAGGATAATAAAATATAAATATTGGACTTTAAATGGAAATAATTTTGTTGGGGCTTCCTTGTGTGGAGGTATTTGAATCTTCATTTGGCTGATGTGATTTTTTTTTTTTTTTTTTGGTAAATAGCTTAGTTTGGAACCATATAGTTTCCTCAGACATGGGTTTATGTGGCTTAATAATTCTTATTTTCAGGAGATAAGGGTTTTGGGGAGAGGAAGGTACCTTTTATGTGCAGTCCTGTATTACTGAGGTCTCTAATTGGCAAACCAAAATGATTAAGTAGTAATCTCTTCTTCTCTCTGTCTGTTGGTAAAGGGAAATGGATTGCCCTGTCCCTGATATTAGTAAACTATTAGCTGTAACAGTGGGCTTTTCTTTGTGGTCTGCTGAGCAGAGAGAGGACCGTTCAAGAATAACTGGAGTCTGAGAAAATTGTGTTGGCGACGCTGGTTTCATAATTGGTTTTGAACAGATTAGCTGTTGAGCCATCGGTAAGTTTTCTGACGTCTTGTGCCAAGCTTTCTCCCTTCCCACTCTCAGCCATCAGATTTAATGCATGTATGGCCTTCGTGTGTTATAAAATATATTTATACTTGTATGTTAGGAAAAGTAGGGAGAGAGAGGTAGCTCTATAGAGAGAGGAAGAGGACAGATTCTGACAGATGACATTGACTGGCTTCTTTTCCTGCCCCAAGCTGCCTGGTAATTACAATATGTGTGATGCTGCTGTGGTCTGACTTAGGTCTTTTCTTCCCTGCTTTGGATAAATGGGATGGTGGTGTGAGGGCCAGGTAGGATACAAGCATTGCCATCATGGATCAGAACAAATAGTGTATCCTGTTTCTGGTGATGACTGGTACCAGTTGATTCGGAGTAAGGTTCTAAAACCCCTGTAATGGACAATTACACAGTAAAGAGCCTCACTGGTAAGAGTAGGAAGGAATAATGATGCTAGTCAATAGCTTGTGGCTCTCCCCAGAGAAGGAGAGGGAAGGGATTTTATTGCTGAACTGTTTGCAGGGCTTTTTCATTTTTTTGTAAATGCCAATGACAATATAGGGAAGTTGTGTTTGGGAGGGGAAATTTTAATCAGCAGGAAGCTTACACAAAGTTGCAATAGATGAGTTAACATTCTTGAGAGATGCATTAGATTGTTGTGTAGGGCAGTAAAAGGGAAAACGAAAGGAGGCTAATGCTGTTGCTCTTGCTTCTCCTTCTCCTTACTTGCTGTCGTTAGGAGAGTGGTGGATAGAATAATGTAGGAGTTGAAATATGCTATGTGGAATAGCTGCTTTCAAACGAGGTGGAAAAAAACTCTTATGCACAACCACAGAGTATGACGTAAAGGAAGCTAGTTGTGGTAGCAGCTGTAATGTTTCTTTACTCATTTGTCAGTATCAGTGAGGACTGTTAATCTGAATCCAGTTCTGTTTCTCTATAAGTCTCTAAGCTTTATATCTTAGCCTGGGGGCATATGAGATTTTTACAATACACATTCATGTAACTAAAAAGAAAAATTCATGTTTTTATGGTTATATCTGCACTAATTTCAGTGGACTCTGTGGGTGCAGGGTTCCACCCCATGGTTCTCAGCACAGGATCAGGGCCAGTGAGGCTACTCATCTGAGTAAGACAAGCAGGATTTGGCTGAGTTTCAGTTCAGGATCATGTTTGTATTTTTCCCATTAGATTCATTGGTTCACACACAACTTCTCTAGTTCTTTCTATAATTTAATTTTTCTTGAATATTTGGGCATGGCATTTGCAGATTATTCCATAAAGTGTATTTGTATCTTCGGAAACTTTAAAAGCAAAACTAAAGCAAATAAAAATACTGAGACTTACAAAAAGACACTACTGTGCATTCAGTATTTTCATCTGAGGATTTTTAATATGTGTATTTTATTAGATATGTATAAAATAACAACATTTTGCTGGATGGTATAACATTCCACAGAGCATCTTGTGTCCTTCATCATTAAGGCAAATGGAAGTTACCATGCAGGACCAGACCATTGGTCCGTTCGTTAAGTCTGACAGCCTGTTGCTTGCAATGGTCAGTACCTGGCTGATGCTGAAAAGAGAGGTGATTTTTCCCAACCCTCCATATTGAACTTGTCTGGTTATGCAATGCTGAGCATGAGGGGAAATGTTGTATAACAGATGAACAGACTAAAGACTAAAAAAAGAAAAGGAGGACTTGTGGCACCTTAGAGACTAACAAATTTATTTGAGCATAAGCTTTCGAGAGCTACAGCCCGAATGCTGCCCCAGCAAGTGTGCCGCCCCAAGCACCTGCTTGCTTTGCTGATGCCTAGAGCTGGCCCTGCTTGGACGGTACGCTGTCACCACCAAGTGATTTAGACAAAGAATCAGGAAAAGGACCACTTGGAATTCCTATTTTCCCCAAAATATCCCCCCAAGTCCTACACCCCCTTCCTGGGGAGGCTTGAGAATAATATACCAACCAAATAGGGAAATCAGATTCCTAAAAAAACAGAACTTTATTATAAAGGAAAAAAAAGTAAAAGAAGCACCTCCTGTAAAATCAGGATGGAAGATAACTTTACAGAGTAATCAGATGCAAAACACAGAGGATTCCGCTCTAGGCAAAACTTCAAAGTTACAAAAGACAGGGATAAACCTCCCTCTTAGCACAGGGAAAATTCACAACTTGAAAACAAAAGGTAATCTAACGTGCCCTTCCTTATTTACTTACTCTTTTTGCAACATTGAGACTCGCTTTAGGATAATTTATAGGAGAAGGAGTTTTCTGATCTGGTGCTTCTCTGCTTCCCAAGAGAACACACAAACAAAGAGCACAAACAAAGCCCCCCCGCCCCAGATTTGAAAGTATCTTCTTTCCCCATTGGTCCTTTTGGTCAGGTGCCAACCAGGTTATTTGAGCTTCTTAACCCCTTTCAGGTAAGGAGGAATTCTAGGCTACCCTTAGCTGTATGGTTATGACAGTCTACCATTGTGGTGCTCATTTGCCTGGCTTTATTAAAGTTCCATGTTTTTTTCTAGTCTTTAACTTAAATGATTGTCATCGGCAATTTTTGCCAGTTCACTGTTCACTCTTTTTCCCAGACTGCTGAAAAGTGTCTTAAACAACAGCAACCCAGTACAGGACATTGGACCACCCCACTGTTAATCTTTTGCTGTGCTGAAAACTGGTCATTTAGGTCCCAATCCCGAAAACATTTACACACATGCATAAAGTTTGCAGTTTCTAATCTGTGCCCGTACTTTGGTTCTCACTCCCATGACTACTCGGTTACCTTAAGAGTCTCTGTTGTGAGATTTTGTTAAGACTTTTTGAAAATCCAATTAAATTATTTCAGCTAGTTCTCCTTTATCCACTATTTTGTTGAACTGTTCAAGAATTGTAGTAGATTTTAGAGGCAAGATGTCCTTTCACAGGTGATGTGCTGGTTTGTCCATATCATATTGTGTCCATCTGAATGTTTTATCATTCTATTTCTAATTATTGTTTCAGCCAGTTTTCCTTGTATTGAAATAATAATATAATCTAGCTCTTATATAGTGCCTTTCTTCAATAGATTTCAAAGTGCTTTACAAGTAGGTCAGTAGCATTATCCTTATTTTACAGGTGAGGGAAACTGAGGCACAGAGTGGTGAAGTGCCTTGCCCAAGCTTATCCAGCAGACCAATGCAGAACCAGGAATAGAACCCAGGTCTCCTGGGTCCCAGTCCAGTGTTCTATCCACCGATCATTGGAACTGAGTTGTGCAAATATTTATACTTTTGAACTCAATGGGACAAGAATAAAATTATTCATATGCATAAGTTTTTGAACATATCCGTAGACTTTACTACCCTAAAAGTCAGCATAGCAGATTATGATTTCTTTAAAGGATAAATAAAGAACATTATTTTGGGTTAGAGAGCAGTTTGAGAGATGACTATTATGTAGTACAGTTATTGTTCAGAAACAGGCTGAACAAATCTGAGTTAGAAACATTTGTAGGTTTTTAATTTATTCACAGTCTCTATTTTAAAGGGGCACTGGCAAAATAAAAATAACTTAAAACCATTTTACTTGTTCTAAATTTGATACGCTAAATATTGAAACTAAGATAATCTTTAAAAATTCTGATTTAAATAGTGTGCAGTATGTTTTTAATTTTTGTTCTGCATTAATTTGGGTCAGTGAAATAGACTGGTCACTTTCAATTTGTTTACCATAAGTTTCACTTTGTATTTCTTATGCATTACTACCCTGCCACTCTTTTGGTTTCCAGCATTGCAGGGGAATGTTTAAAGATGAAAGGGAATTGTTTTAAATGTCTAATCAAGCTAGATGTTACAAAAACTAAATCTTGTACCTGTGTCACTCAGCTGACTCTCTGAGGCCTCAGTCCTGCAACTGCATCCAGGCAGGCAGT